GGTTAAAAAAGATATACCGTTTCAAAATTTCATCAGTGAAATTATATAAAAAAGAAAGAAAAGGAAGGAAGGAAAATAAAATTCAGTTTAACGATGTTTGTTGATATTTAGCCTAGATTGAAGAAGAAACTGCAGGAATTCTTGACAATTTCATATGTGTGTTTTTTTTAAAAAAAAGTAGGTCCACCTTTTCATTTTTTAAAAATCAGGAAATGTGTACAAAAAGGCTTAGCATTCCACTTTTGCAGTGTGAGTTTATATAAAAATAAAAGGAAATAAACTCCAGCATTTCATCAGTGCATCAGGAATAGAACGAAAACAAGCATATAAACATAGATTCACAGATCAAAGTTCTTTTGGAAGAGAGCAGGCAGCCCAACATAAATTGGCCATGGAAGTAAGCAACCAGTCATTGGAGCAGATGGGTTGTTCTTGCCACAGAGTACAATATTGGACATATTTCTTTACTATAAAATGAAGTATAAGAGGTAAATTGAACAGCGTCATTTGTACCAGCACATGCATAGTACGCTTGATGTGTGTAGCAGAAAAAAAATTGCCTTCCTGATACCCGGGGAGGGGGGAGGGGCAGATAGAAGTCAATATTGCACATGCCTGACCTTGAAAAATGCTTATTAACCTAAACCACCACTGGACTCACTGATCGTATGGATCAGATCTTAGACTCATATGTCATTGTGCAATATCAATTATTTATTTGTTTATTATATTTGTTTGCCGCCCATCTTTCTAGAAGACAACTATTGGTGGCTTACAACAGTAAAAACAATAAAATCATACAGACCCATATATCTAACTGTAATAAAGATACAAATTATGATCTCCCCCCCCCAAAAAAACAATAAAAAATGGTTCAATATAGTGAAAATATAGAAATGACCAACATTTACATTTCTCACTTTACCATCATATCAAAGGTCAAAGTATATGAAACAGTCCAAACCAATCTTGCAATGGGATTCTGACAAAAGGAAGACAATACAGTACAATGTCATTCTGAACGTCGTTTTTAATGGAATACAGAATTGTGCAATAGGCCAGATTTTAATATGTAGGTGAGATTTTAACTTTCTAATATATTGCATGATCAATCTAAATCACTGAAACATTTTATATTTAGCTATAGTAGATGATTTTATGGTGTAGATCACATGTGTCAAACTCGCAGCATCAAGTTGCCATCACAAGACATATCGCAATGTTTTTCCCCTTCACAGAGCTGGAGTGAGTGTAGCCTGCACGTGACGTATCCTGCCTGCAGGACATCAGTTTGACATTCCTGATGTAGAGACTCACTATTATGATTATTAATTCAAATGTAAACTCAATATATTAAACATGTTTATAATAGACCTTTAGTTAAGGTTAAAAAAAATCTTTAATCATGTCAGTCATAATTAAAATGTATTTTGTTCTATCACTTAAGTACTCATAAATACAAACCCTCCTTTCTTTCTCCCCTTGATCTTTTTGTAATGTCCAATTTATTTACCCATTAAAGCAGGAAAAGAATATGATTTGATTTATTGGATTTGATAAAGTGGCCCAACTCCCAGAAGATTCTGGGCAGCATCCAATAACTCCAATACATAGATTTAAACCAAACAACATTCCCCAACATGCAAAAACTTAATAGGGTCTCTAACTGCAGTCTTGGAACAAGTCAGATCTTGATACTTCCAGAAACCAAGGAGAGTAGGAGCTATGTCTTCTGCTGTTCCTGAAGATCCAGGCATCAACAGAGAAAGAATGCACCATCACTGTCTTATCCCCAATAGGATAATATTTAATTGATGGGACTTGAAACACACCATCCTGAAAGCACAGGATGGGCAGAAACAACCGGAGACAGGTAGTCTCTCAAATGGCAATCTCTATACCATGAAGGGCTTTATAGCACCTTGAACTGCACCCAAGTGTCAACTAGAAACCAATGCACCTCATGTAGCGGTGATGACACAGTAGTGTAGCTATTATTGTTATTGCTTGAATCATTACAATTTGAACCATTTGAAGCTTCCAGATGGTTTTCAAGGGCCAGGTAGGACTTCTTACAAATTTAGAACATTGCTGTAGGAAGCCAAAATACAAATACACCTTTGTTTTTTTATATACCCTATTTGGGATTTAAACTAGTTTCAACACACACAGAGACTTCTTATATGAGCAACATGATATTGCTAAACCCAGCCCACGTATCTCATTAAAATCATTTAGTTACTTCAATCAACTGTCTTGATCTATATTTAATTGTATTTTGAAATGCAGTTTAAAAATTATGCAATAAAAGAATGCATGTAAAAGGTAAAGTGAGTAAGAAAATAGCTGTTTTAATCAAAGACATAAAACGATTTTACCCCACAATTTTTCAACTAAACTTTAAAGAAAATATCATATGTATTGATTACAATAATGCTTGCATATGCCACTCATAGAGCAGGGGATGTAACCAACTTTAAAGGGTAGTTTCCTTATTATGCAATTATTTATTTCCTATATCTTTCTTCATATAATATTGCCCGTTCTATAAGAAAGATTCTCAGTTACCATGGTGTAGTTAATATATTAATAAAAACAGATGTATGCACACAAAAATGGGATATATAATAATTATAATTATTTCATATAGGGGTTTTTCTATAGGTAGACAAGTAGAAGTTATCTGCACACCACAATGAGCTTCTATTTCATTACTAGAATACTTTCCCAGGTGCATAATTATAAATTGCAGATCTGTATGTTATACTTCCATAATTTTTCATCTGATTTCATAGAATATTCCATTTCAATCTTATGTATGTTAATCACAAAAGTCTTTATCTTCATTAGAACGCATAACTCATTTCAACATATAATATCCAGGTATGAATGCATATAATAAATGTCTTTTAACCAGTTTTTTTCAGTTGTTTATATAACTTGAAAGTCAAGATCAGTTTTTATTTTTGCTTCTTTTCCCCATGACAACTATCGTCAATATTAGTATTATTTAGTTCTGTCAGTCAGATACAAATACATTTGTTTCTCTGCAAGACTACAAGTATCAGTCATATAATTTTAAACCAATTTCCTCAAAAAATATGGAGCTATTCTAATAATTTTCTGGGAGAAAACTATGAACATTTTACTGCATTAACAGATGAACAGCAGCATAAACATATATTAATTTGGATGTCCTACACTGTAACCAGGGGTGGGTTGCTGCCGGTTTTACTACCAGTTCGCAATCCCCGCACACACGACGTGCGCTGCACATGCGCAGAACAATTTACAGTGAGCTGCACACATGCAGTCACTAAAAACCAAAATGGTGGTGGCCCAGCGGTAAGGGAACCAGTTCGGGGACATGGCAAGCCTGGGTCGCTGCCAGTTCTACGACCCAGACATGAATTCCATTACTGGTTCAGCCGAACCGGGAGCAACCCACCTCTGACTGTAACATCTAAATCTAGCCTATAAAATCAGTTTGAAATCAAAACTAGGCTTGTTCTTCCAGTAATTAATACAATATTCCAATCATGCTGTTAAAACTGTTTGAGGAGATTTCTTTTGAATAATGAAGTTTTAGTTAACTGGAAAGTATCAAACCATTCATTTAGAATTTGGAAAGCCCATGCTTAATTTTTAGGTTAATCATGTGTAACATGCACAATCATGTTCACATCGCTCCAACTGTAAGACTCCTTTTTGTCATTGTAATATATATGGACAATTGTCCCAGTGTAAAAAGTTCACAAAATAAATTGCATCATATGAAATTTATTTCCCTATTGTCAAGTACCAGTATTTCATCTAGAATAAGCCTTGAACTTAGGACAGGATGTGCACTTTTGACTTCCATTGCCATAAAAACCTAACTGATGCAACTATCTATTGAACAGGGAAAGCCCCATACATGCTATCCTTCCACACATATTTAGCATCAAAAATTATGAAATTAAAAGATGTCTAATCTAACTATGCACTGAGACTTTGGAGATACTCAAAAATAACATGCAGGAAACTGAATAATCTCAGCATTAATATAAATTTTATTTCAGCTGTGAGCTTCCTCTTAGGAACATTTACTTATTGACATGTTAGCCTTTTGAGACTTGGATCTATTCTTCTGACTAGGAAAGGTAATTTTTATACAGTTAATGACTAACCCTCCCCTCCAAAAGAATTCCTGACTTAATATTAATTTGCATGCACTAATGGGATATAGATTTTATCTGTTTAACAACTTGCTGAGACAGCATGTGACAGTGTAAAACTGAACTGTTAAAAAAAGGTCATTCTGTTATCTCTTCTGGAATATCTAATCTCTTGTAGCTTTACTCACCGTCTGGTGACTTCTGTCACAGTACCGCAGTCCAAAATAATCTATCTCAATGAGGTTTAAATGCCGGAATACGTAGCCCAGGACAACCGACCCTTTCGTTGATTTCTGTGGGAAAGAATGTGCAGAGACTTTTCATACAAATGTTCATTCTTTTGTTAGCTACACAGTGGCATTCATGCATTCAGCTAGATAAGTCTACCAGAGGAGACTGCATTATTAGAACTGTCTTTAACAAAAATTGCAATGACAAGAAAAGGTTTTTTTTCTCATATTCACCAGTCATTTTACAGAAAAGGTTGAGCAATTATATTGACAAGTTTTCTCTAATATCATGAGGTCACGTAATTATGTACTCAAACTGTGATCTGCAAAATTCTGCATTATTCATTCTTGCCCATATTCAAACATTCTCAACACTTTATGATTTCAGATTCCCTAAGGGAAGTGAAAACATCAGGCAAATCCATATACAGACTGATTTAATGAATTCAACTTTCGCATATTTATGCATGCATTGCTAGTTGATACCAGTAATACTGTGGTTTATTGTAAGGGCATTAGTATACAGTGGTAATAGCTGTTAGACAACAAAAGCAAGGACTACCTGTAGGAAAAAGGCAATTTATTTTACTTTCCTAGTAGTACTGTGTAAGTATACATTGTTAGCTAAACAATATGTTCTAGACAATGAAGAAGTATGTTATATGATGCTTTATAATTAAAATATAGGTATAACACATTTGTTTCTCTTTATGATACATTCACAAACAAGTTTTTTAAAAAGGCTAAAGCACAGCAGAATTAAACATGAAGAAATGAGAGATATCATGCATTTAGTAATTAATGTGCCAATAACATGAAAAGAGGCTTTGAATATACAATCAAGCACACTCACAGTTTAGATATAAAAAAAAAGAATCAGAGAAAAATCTCAATGTAAAATAGCCAAGAAAAAAAAAGAGAATTCTCAAAGTCATTTTAACTTAATGTTCAAAAATCTTAAAGCTAGCAGGTAATATAAAATAAATGTCAACACCTGTTTTTAATTACTTTAAATTACTTTAAGACAAAATTAAAACATGTAATCAGAAAACTAGCATGAAACAACAGACTTAAAAGCGTATAAGATCAATTTCAACCTATATTGAACATAAATATTTTGTAGGAAAAAAATGTAACTTTGTACAGCCAGCTTTCTATTTACAAAGCTGTTTGTAAGTCCATTTTGTTCATAAACAAGTATAAAAAACCCATATCAAGTACAATTCCTACTTTATATAAATTAAGTTACATTTCTCCAATCAATCAAGAACTAACCCAAACCCTGGTTTTGGATACAGAGTACCACATTGATCCATTGTGGCTTTGGCTGCTGGCACGACCAGTCTTCCCATGGGCTATTAAAGGTAAAGGTAAAGGTTCCCCTCGCATATATGTGCTAGTGATTCCCAACTCTAGAGGGTGGTGTTTATCCCCGTTTCAAAGCCAAAGAGCCAGTGCTGTCCGAAGA